AAATGGTGCTTAAAAAGAGCAAATACAAATCATGCTTGAAAACAATGCCTAAAATATCTCCCATATTTTGTAATTATTAATTAGCAAACTACTCTTTTACAGACTGGATCAAGGAAAGCTTCAATGCAGGTAATGAAATTATCATATATTTGAAATTAGCTTGGCCTGAATTGTATTCTGTTCTACAGCTAAAAGCTTCATTTACATTTTAAAACTTAAATGCTCTTCATTTTCTTTACCTGAAACCTTTCCTCAAGCCTAACAATTTTGTTAATAGTCAACCTTTCTCTCCGTGAGTCACATCAATAGTAAATTGAATGAAATCAGGATTCCTTTCAGCTTTTTGAGAACCCATTTAAATTACTGGTGTAGGAATTCTATGCATCAGCTTTGAAGACGCCTTATGTATCAATTTTGACTTATAATGATCTCAGTTTACACAAACTAGGGAAAGATGAGCAGTTCTTGTCGAAAAAATAAAAAAAAAAACAAAAAACGATGGCTGGAGCGTGCGAAAACAAATTAAAAAAAAAACAAAAAAAAGAGAAAAAACAGGGGCGGTATGTTTGAAGATGCAGGACTTCATTCTTTTCTATTTTATTTCAAATATGATTTCATACCTGCTATTTGTACACACGGAGTCATTGTCATTATAGCCATATTTTATCTGGGCATACCCAGGTGATAGCAGGGTTCAGTGGTAGGAGTACAGGGAGGGTACCATTCACAATTAGTATAGGTTGAATGGTGCGCCCTGGAGTCTTTGTCCTCTGTACTTGCTCCTATACAAACTACCATGATGTCAAGATCAATATGATGCTAACAGTCTAGTTAAGGAAAACAAATAATGTGAAAACAAAATTTTTATGGAATCTTAAAAGCATCAAAGAAATATGTTTGGGATGCTCTGGGAGTGCAAAGGAAAGATTTGCAAACCTGAAGAACTCCCAGATCCATGACCTTGTCTGCTTTTCAAGAAGTGTCCACTGAGGCAAGTCTTCACAGTTAGAATAGTGCAGTTTAATTATGATAGTGAGCTGCTGTTTATTGAACTCTTATTATATACTAGGGCCTATGCCAAGTAATTAATGTGTCCTGCTTTTATAAAATTCATACAACAATCTCATGTCATAGGTATTTTTATCATCCCCATTTTGCCGATAAGTACTCCTGAAGTCTGGAGCGCTGAAAAACTAGCCAGGGCCCCTCAGTCCTTCTAAGAGCTGGGATGGTGTTCTGGGGAGCTGGATCTAACGGGTGAAATCGCACGGCAGGGGCCTCTTCTAACACGTCAGAGCACAAAGAGTGACTACTGTCTGGATGGGAACTGGCTACATTCCGACTGTGTTCAGAACTGGGGATCACTAAAAGGTGTTTTTTAGGAAACTAAGGAAAATTAAAGAAGTAAAAATCCAGCCCCGAGGATAGCATCCTAGAGCAGAGGCTTTTGTGGCAACAGGATGGCTTGCCGCTACCCTGTACATGTCTGGATTCAAGTCCTGCCTCCACCAGTGCAGCCTGTGTGACCTTGAGAAAGTTATTCGACCTCTCAACCCTTGCCCCTGTCATGAAAAATACATGAATTATCCTTTGTTAAAACTCAATAGTAGCACTTAATAATGTTAAAGTTCTTGCTATTGACCTCGGGGAGTGGATTGGGGATAAGCGTCACAAATCCTCAGAAATACTGTGCACAGTTGTGTGTGTGGATGGTGTGTGTGGATGAGTGTGTAGAAATATAGAAAGGATGGGAACGTATAGCTACATATAAGTGTGCAAAAATATCACATTATTTAATAAACTTGAAATCGCATTAAACTTGACCTTAAGCCCCATCCTCTTTGGTCATTATTTGATACTCTCCCAGCCCCATCCTTGGACAGGACAAAGGTTCCTGAACTTTCCGGGGGGCCTCCCAAGAATGGATTGGCAGGTTATGCTCTGCACAATCTCAGGGGTACCATTCACCTCTCAAGAGGCTTGACCACATTCTTGCAACAGGAGAGAGGAAAAAATAAAGCATAAAGCAACCCACCAATTAACATTTCAATAAATTATCCAGCCACGAGCTCTTTTTTTTTTTCTGAGGGAAGAAGAGAGTCCATACCTTTCATTAGATTCTCAAAGCGAAGAGGGAGGCTGATTTGATCCAGCAAAAGAGATGGGTGTCAAACCTCTGTGCGCCACAAAGCAGGGAAACATCGCATTTGCATTGATTATAGACCCTTTTCACGGTGCTGACACATCTATGAGCTTGGAGTGGCCTCATTACTTTCTTTATTAAATTGTGTCCGGGTGGGGCCCCCCATTCAACCTAAATGCAGATGGGGTCATTGTGACTGAACCGCAGTTTACACAATAGGTAATAAATTCCGGGAAATGAAACCTGTCATCAGAACACTCTTTCACATAACAAAAAAAAACGAAATGGGGTATAACACTGGGACTTGCAGTAAAGAAGCCTCCAATACAAAGAGGCAGAATTGCATTCACTGTGTTATAAAGCATTTGGGGGCCTCTGCTACACGACCAGGAGAGGAAAGGGCCAGTATTGATTCAGTAAAAAGTCTATAAAACTGCTGGACACAAGACCATGTATATAGTGGAAGGAGCCTGTGGAACACACAATGGTTTTGCAAATAAATGGGGACACCCGAATGGAAGCATCATTATCAGCCTCATCTTCAAGTACAGGGAAAGAGAAAGTGCTTTCAGAGGATTAATAGGAAAAACATTCAGGTTAATGAAGACACCCTACATGAAGTCATGTCTGTCATTTTAAGTGCTCATTGCGGAGGATTATTTGTACCAGCACTTAATTTTTATGAAATTCAATTGATCAGACCTCGATCCATGATTAATCGTTTGAGTATGACTAGACATAAGTGGGTACTAATGAGCCGTAAGCCAATGTCAGAGTCCCATTTTTAGCCTTGTTTTTGCACTAAGCAGTGCCCACTTTCTACAGCTCATTGTCTTTGGATGAGTCTGGAAGTTCGTATTTTGTGACAGTTCAGTTTAGTCTTTTGTCACTTTCATAGTAGAGTTCTTGAATAATTAAAAAAAGCAACGCTCTCAGAGTTTTTGACATCTCAGAATTGTGCCTTCCATTTCTTTGTCGTCACACGAAAACATCATCCATCCATCCATCCAGACAGCTGAAGGGGCCCCACCAGCATGTGGGCAGGGTGGCGTAACGCTAAGCATCTGAAATTTGAGTTGGAGGGTTTGAAATTCTATAACCCATTTCTTTGTTGAATGGGAGTATAGCACCTTCTTACAGTGTCACGGGTGAGATAAGTAAAATGGCTAGATAAGTAAAATAGAAATAGAATTTCTATTCTGACAGGGTCAGAATAGAAATGATTCTGAATATATAGTTTTTCTTAGTTCCAAGTAAAAGTACTAAACAACTTATGTACAGACTATTTTACCTTGTGGGCTCTGGAATGATGGCATTTTTGAACTGGAAAGGCCCTCAGTCTAAACTTTTATTTTACAGATGAGAGAACTGAGGACCTGAGGATGTGAAAATACTTGTTCAAGGCCAAATATTTGTGATTTTTTTCATTAAATAACTATTTGTTGAATGAAGAAATGGTAACCTGGCATCATCACTGGAAACCAATTTCTGATATATCAAATAATAATCTATATCCGAGACTAATAATCTTGAACCCTTTTCAACTTACAGCACACATAAACTAATTACTAAAATTATGTGGCACACTGAAAATATATTTTTTGCCTATCTGACAAGAATAGAAATAATTTTGATTCATTCACACTGGACGGCTATTGTTGTGTTGGCGGTTGTCATTTTTTATTTGACGATCTAAGGGGAAGAAGGTCAGCACCCCTGACCATATAGTCAGATATTGCATGTTTTAAAAATTCTTGCAGCACACTGCTTGAAAATTATTGTCCTGGAAGCACAGTGTATTGCTACACGTGACAATGTCAAATGTCAAAAAAGAATGAGAGAATTTGAATTCTTCTTCTTAAGTATATTGTCATATTTAATATGACAATATGAATTCTTAAATATAAGTGACATTGATGTATGGTTCTAACCAATTACGGAGACTTTCATAATTATTATATGTTACATATTAAAGAAAAGGACCAAATCACATGTGGCGTGTGATGAGGAAACAGTAAGCCATTTAATTGTGGTTCACTGGCTGTTTATTTAAAAAAATAGAATTGTTGAAAGTAAATTGATTCGTATGTCATATGGTTCACTTGATATATTTCTGCTGTTCAAAACTCAGTAAATTTTATTTTCCATTATATCAGTTTTATCAGATGCATGTGAAAATACTAAAATGGTAGATTTCCATGTAAAAGAAGGAGTATGACATGTGCATGGTAAAATAGTGGTTTCCTAGGAATGGCACTGTGGCAGACCCCCTTCCCAGGGTTACCCAACAACACTGCAGCTTATGTGGTTACCACACTAGCCTCCCTTAGAGAGCCCACAGGCACCCATGTTCGTCACCATGGCAACAGATTCTGATTTCGAGTAGCCCCATCCTAATACTGTGCACAGAGCCTCTCCTTGGAAAAAGTTATTTTTTTAAATTTTAAATACATTCCCCCAAATTACAGGTATACAATTTCTGAGTATTTGTTCTAGTTTCTTATAAGCATAATTTGATCACTAAATGTCTGAGCCCACAAAATTTCTTGAATAGCAACAGACAGATAATTTAAATACAGATTGTGTTTTGATTCTGAGCATCATTTTGAAAAGAAGAAGAAAATAACATTTCAGGATGAAAAAACGTCTGAAGAAATAGCTATGGGAGGAAATCACCCCTCATCTTTCTGCTGCAGCAAGAGCTCTTCTACACTTATTTTTTAAGACTGTTCAGACGTATAGATCTAAGCAAATAAAATACTCTTTTCCCATTAAAATCTTTTTAAAAAACAAACAAGACGCGAGTGACAAGGGCCATGTTTACAAACTCTCACAATAACATTCTCTTTTTATCTAGGATGCAGAGAGTACCAGACTTGCTCAAGACTCCCCTGCATCTCCAGGAGGCAAGAAAACCTTCGGAGGTGGCAGAGGCAGCTACTTTCTCATTTCCTGTTTGTGGTTTGGACAGGCTTTGCAGCTGCGGTGACTGAGTATAATCAGGAAGGCTGACAATGCTCCCAGTTACATAATAGGACTCGCCAGCCCATGGCCCCATCTACTAACTCATTTGAAACTGAAGGTAGGGTGTTCTCCCACTCTCTGTCTCTATTAGGAAAGACATTTGTATGTTTTATTTACAATTCTCTTCTAATCTATCACCAAGCAAGAGAAAGAAATTCACACAATAACTCATAGTGTAGTACTCTGGTTACAAAGTAAGCTCAACTTTTTTGTTGTTGTTTTCTTCTAGAGCTTTAAATTCAACTCCTAGTTCTTGCCATGGTTCCATTTTCAGCCATCCTTGATACCAGCCTGATTGCAGGCGTTCCAACGCTCTGGAGAGGTCTCCTTTCCCTTTGGTTCTGTTCCTAGTGTGTTTTCTGAAGTGTGCATCCTTCCTGATGCCCATCAGTCCTGCAGCGTAGGGAGAACATGCATTCTCAGCCCCAACCTACAGTGATCCCTGGAACTCAGCTCTGGGGGCCCCTGTGATTTTCCCTTCTCTTTCCAGTGGGCTCCCTCATTTGCAAAACAATGTGGATTCTTGTTCCTGCCTTTCTAACTAATGGGAAGAGGAGGAAGGGGTGGTGGTGGCTGTTTTGAGGACCTGTGACACAGCTGTGCAGCTAACTCCGTTTTTCCAAAACCCAGTATATTTAAAACTGAAGATCACCAATGTAGGGTTGTACTATAGTTAATATATCAACACTTAGCAACATTTATTTAGAGGAATGAAGGACCTTCCCATACTGTCATTGTCCTTCTGTGACTGTATGTATCTATGATTATTTGGAAGTAAAAACAAATGCCTATATTTTGGGGCCTTCCTGGGCATGAAGTGCTGGGCCAGAGCCTTCTGGTGGCAATAAAAAATGTCCCCACTCAAACTGCAGTGGTGCAGAGGAGGGGGGGGCAACAGGGGCATCGGTGCACTTAGGGCAAAGGTGGCAGGTTGATAACAACTAATACCTTGAGAGCATTTACTGTGTACCAGGGACAATTCTAAATATTTTGTGTCTGCTCACATAGTATGCTTTCTTAGGCAGGTATAATTGTTGTTCGTATTTTTATACGTGGAGAAACCGAGGCAGAGAAAGAGAAATACCTCGGTCAAGTTTGTACAATGTGCAGTGGGACTGAGCCGGTGCCGTTACCGGATGCAGTGCAGAAAGCACAAGGACGAAAGAGGGGAGTGTGCGTGTCCCTCAGACTCACAGCTGAGGGTGGGGCACAGATGCGTGCTGGGGGTGGGGACTTGCGATCTCAGTAATCAAAGCAGCCAGGGGCAACATGCGCCACTTCGATCCCCACCCCCGCCCATCCGGTGGTTTTCCCCAGGGCTGGAAGAACTGGACAAGCAAGGTTGATTCCCGCACTCACATTCTCTCCCCATAGGTCACATGATGTGTTCAAATCACAGTGGAAAGTGCCATTTTTCAATGACACATGGGATCAAATTCAGTTTCATGGGCCTGCGACTTGGGCAGTTTGCCCAGGGCTCTGTGCTCTGACTGACCCAGTACTTGGATTAATGCTCTCCTGCCACCATCGTGAAAGTCGATGCTTTTCGAACACGGGGTCCGCATTTTTGTTTCGCACTGGGCACCACGAATGGTACGGCCAGTCTTGGGTGGGATCCTGGACGATCTGGAGAACCATTTTGTAGCTTCGCTCTTCCAGGGAGACGAGATTCCGCCGCCCCGCGATTCCTCTGGAACTGCCGTGCTGTAAATCTGCAGTTGCCTGCAAGTGGGTTTGCATTTTACTGCAATGTAATTCTTTCCCTCACAGGGAAAAGCAAGCAGTTCTCACTAACAGGGGCTCTGATGAAGCTGTGCCAAGGTCCCCGTGCATCGCCTGGAGCAAAAAGCCTCAGGACAGTCTTCAAATTCAACAATGGGGTTAATTACAAGGGACCCTCTTTAGGGAATGATAAAACCAGGTTAACCTCAGTGAGGTCTTGCAGTGGGCCCCAAAGAGGGCTCCCACAGGGTAACACAGGTCTCTGCATAAAATGCCAGCTCTGCTCCACCTGGAAATTTGTATTTCCCATTCCACAGAGTTTGTGCACTTTAGGCAAGCTCTATTTAAGTCAAGACTTGACAAATTTTTAGAGAAAATGAAACTGTCTTGGTATGAGGAAGCCAATCTGATAAGGCCTCTATTTCCTCTGTCAGTGCTCCAGCTGTTTGGCACTGGAATAAGCAATCACTCACCAGTGGCGAGTTTCCATGGAATCCGTTGCTCCCGAGGACTTTTCTGACGTGAAAAGTAGTGAGCTGATTTTCTCCGCCAGGGCAGTAATGGTACCAGTGAGCCGAAACTATGGGGGGGGGGGGGGGAAGCCGACTTCACAAAAAAGGACAAAAGGGGAATTTTGAGCCTCTACCATTCAGAGGAACCTGGACCCTCATCTTCAAGGAGAACTGTGGGTCTATGCTGAATTAATAATGACGGCTAACACCTCTTAGCATTGACTATGCCCTAGACATTCTTGTAAGGGCTTTCTTTACACATGTCAACATAGTTAATCCTCACAACAAGCCAGTGAGGTAGGCACTGTTATTATCATCTCCACTTTGAAGGCGAAGGACCCCGGGCACAGAGAGGGTAAGCAGTTAAATCAGGAGAGCAGCTGCAGGGCTGCAGGAGCTGCAGGTTCACCCAGGACAATAGCAGGCGGTGAAGAGTTCCCAGTGGGGCCTGGCTGCGTGCGCAGCTGCTGAAGCTGCGTCCTGTTTGTCCTCACAACAAAGCCCCATTAATGAGGAAAGCGTAATTGGTCGCCCTTGCTCTTCCAACCTGAAAGAGCCTATAGAATACAGATGCTATTGTGAATGCTTTTGTAATTTGGAGATTCCTTTTACTTATATATGTGTGTATGTATCTATATTGCATATATCTATATCCATATCTATCTATCTATCTATCTATCTATCTATCTATCTATCTATCTATCTATCTATCTAGGTATAGATATAATCGGTCCCTTAAGGTATCAGAAGAAGATTCAGGAGAGGGGTGAAGAAGCGGCTCCTGCTTTTGAGGCATTTGCAACCATTGTTGGAGGGACAGAGCCGACAGATGGGGAACAGTAGTGAGGGACACAAGGGCTGGTATGAGCCAATGCGCCCTGTGGTCCCTGTGCGTGAATGGTGTGGGCACAAGAGAACGGAAGGGTATTTACTCACCAGCCAGCAACTTGGGTGTGATGGGGGTGGAAAAGGAGCAACTGGGTGGCTTTGGGCACACTTTTTGATCTTTGGACTGCACATTCCTTCAGCTGTAAAACGATGCCATCAGTGATATCAAAAACTCCTTCCAGATTTAACACTGAATGAGTCCTGACATTTTGTGTGTGTGTGTGTGAAGCTGGATGTTTATGTATGGTATCTGCTAAAAGTCAGGGCACACCATCGCTGATATGGCCCAGACTGAAGATTGCATAGTCAGGTAGGTACAGTGTCTCAACCTCATGGTAGCTCTCAAGAGTATTTGTGTCCTGAACTTCAGCTCTTTAGCTTTTCTTGTTCTATTAATTTGATGATTGCCCAGTCATATTTATATCTTAACTATTTGTATTTTTCTCTTTTTTTTGCTAAAATATAAAAATAGGGTATATATAGGCTCTAGCACTTAAATATAACTTGTATGTTAAAATATTTTAAAAAGAATAAAATTTACCACACCTGACTTGTGTGGTTTAGTGCTTTGAGTGCTGGCCTGCTAACCAGAGGGTTGCCAGTTCGATTCCCAGTCAACGCAAGTGTCAGGGTTACGGGTCAAGTCTCCATTTGGGGGTGTGCAAGAGGCAACCACACATCGATATCGCTCTCCTTCTCTTTCTCCCTCCCTTCTCCTCTCTCTAAAAAATAAATAAATAAAATCTTCAAAAAATTAAAAAAATAAAATTTACTAAATGAGATAATCGGTCTACTCATTCGATATAATGTAAAATTTTCTCCTGTAACTTGATTGTTTTGTATATTTCTTTCAACAGTCTAAGTTATTCTAACTGATCGTGATTGTTTAACATACTCAAATTAATGAGTCCTATGGTGAAAATTAAACACGTTTTAAAATTCATTATTCTATTATTACGCATACACTACATTTTCAACAGTAAAATGGCTCTTTATCCCAAACAGGCATGTGGTCCAGATAAAAAATTATCTGATATTCTCGATCATTGAAATATAGAAACAATAATCAAGGAAGAGGGACTTAGGAGGTATTTTGCAGTGCAGTCCATTAGGGTGACATGACATGGCTTTCTCTAACCTGGCAGATATTCTTCAGAGCCTGCAAAGCAACTGCTCTATAAGTGTGGCCCTTGGACCCGCAGCACTCGCATTGAACAAATTCTCAGGTTTCACCCAAACTTAATTAGAACTTCAAGAGGGGGTGCCCAGCAGTCTGTGAGATAACAAGTCTTCCTGACGACGATTCTGAAGTAGCTTAAAGTTTGAGAACCACAATCATCTAGACTGCCAATGGAAAAGAATCGATCACAAGTTATGTTAAATGATCATCTTTCTTTACACCGAAAGGTGAGAGTGTCCCTTTCGACCATGCACCAGCCCCTTACCTCCTGGGTTTTGTGTTTCTCTCACAGCATATTCTACTCTGCCTTGTTGTGTAGTCAGTATTGTCTGAGTTCTTTGATTAGACTATAAAGGGTCCTCAATCAGCGGCTGCATCCTACTCATCTTTCTGCCCACGTGTATCACAGAGTCAGACACAGAAAAACAACTCGATAGTTCTTGAGTTGTGGTATGTGGTGGGAGGGCTGCCGGTCAAGCCCAGAGTCATTGGATAGCTGTAGGCCAAGGCTATTTATTAGCTGTGTGAGTTAGGCGTACGTAGCATGCCTGTTCCGAAATATTCCCCTGTAAGTGGCTGACATTCGTTCTTTCAAGATTTATAGAAAGCTTACAACCCTCATTTAAAATACAAAATCCACCTAGGAGGGATCGAGAAATAGGAGGAAGAGCAAGAGGATGAGCCTAGCTCTTTTACTGCCTGGAGCTATCACGGGGCAGCATACAGACACAGAAAAGGAACAGAGCAGGGGAACCGGGAACAAATCTTTGATTTCACAGTCTTGCCTGCGGCCTTGAGGCCTTGACTGACAGGCAGTAGCTGCTGCTTTAACCTCCATCAGTGGCTTCACGCCTTTTTAGATGAGACTCAGCAAATCTCACTCTGGTCTTATATGGAATATTTTCAGCCTAAGAGAAAAACTGTGAGCATGAGAAGCAAGCTGGTCTTGCTTTCCCACACCCAAATGCAGAGACTCATAAGACAATAACAGTCTGGAAAAATCGGAAACTCACAGTACAAAACCTTTTAGTTTGTTATTTTAGGTGCTGTTCTTAATGCCATTGTGTGAAAACACACACTAAACGGACGACCCCCTCCAAATAATGTTTAATTTATGTTTATGTATTTGTTGGCCATTCATGTCTTGAAATTCAATCTATAACATCGTAAACTCATGGCTAATTCTGAACACATAAAATTCATCACAGGAAAATATGATCAGAAAAGATATCGTTTATGTGGATAAAACCCCTCAATTTTTCATCCATATTTGTGATTTTTATCTGGGTCACGTTTTATCTGCATTGGCTCAGATTGTTTTTTCCCTGGGATGCTGCAGCTGGTTCTACAGGTTGATTTCCCGAGGAACACTGCCATCAAGTGGCCGGATGTGGTAAAGACAATGCATGAAAGAAGACTAGCTTGCATGGTTTTAATTTTGACACTCTCTCCAGAAAAATGTTTGTGGCTTTAAAATCTGCTTTGTTGTTTGAAGCTGCATTTATTTCTCCCTAAAACAGCATCCTTAAAATATTTGCCAAAAGATGAACTCTGTGTCAGCTTTTGAATCCCCCAAGTATACCGTGACCACATCAAAAATATCACATCTATGAAATAACAGTTGATCTGTTTGTTTTATGAATTTGTAAAGCTGTCATAAATTTATCCACTTGAAAGAGCTTTCTCATGTGCGCCCATGTGGCTGCCTATACTTTCTTCACACGGATAAGTCAGTTTAAGAAGGGACAAGGCACAAGAACTGCCAGGAGGTAGAGTCATGTGGATCAAAAACCAAAGTATTAAGCTTGCCATCCGGTTGGAGTCCCCCCTTTGCCACTAACTACTTAACGATGTCATTTGGGGAAAGTCACGTAAACTCTCTGGTCTCAGCACTTCTCTCTCTTAAGTACCCTGCAGTCAAACTGTTTTCCAGTGTGTAATTCATTCTGTGATTCTCCTTGACAAGTAAACAAGTTTTTTTAAAAAAGCAAAAATGTTGTTTTTCTTTAGGTGGATTATATTCCTACTGGTTTCCCGTAAATACGCTCCCCTCCATCTCCCTCCCTGACCCTGAACTGAAGCTTTGGCAGCCTGACTCATCCTGCAAAACATTCTGTGCCAGAAGAGCCCAGAGAGTCCGTGGGCTGCCCAGCCAAGCGCTCACACACAGGGCTCGCAAGCATTTTGGGGGCAGTCACAGTTTACGTATCTCTTCATATATAAAATAAAATGGACGAATCTTTGCACTTGGTAAACAGCTTACAGGCATCTGAGAGCTGTAGGTCTTAAAGAATGTTCCAGAACATTAGAGAAGGATAATTCAGAGCAGCCTGCTGTTTGTAACACCCGAAAGGGATGGGCGATTTTCTTCCCGAATGACACCATCTCATTTATAAATTTGTCTAATGTGAAAAGGGGATGCAAATGCTGCTTGGAGTACAGTCGTGACGTTAATGTTCTGCTGAGACAAAATTACGGTAAATTATGCCCTTGAGTTGATTCTGTGAGGGGCGAGGGATGGCAATGCAAGCTGGTATTGATGTTGAAACTGTGCTGCAAGGGCTTGTAAATGCAGGCCAGTTGCTAGGAGACCTGGAGCACACAGCTAATGCCCACCCGGTGGGCGCAGGGATGTTTTATCGAGAAACCTTCTCTTTCACAGTCAACGATGACATTAAATGAACAATCTGTCAAAATTCAGGTGAATCAGAGCTTATGTATGGCTTGTGTCAATCCAGTCATTCTGTCACCCGCCACCCATAAAGGGGACCATTGCAAGAGAACAATGTCCCATGGTGTCAGTGACCAAGATGCTCCAGGAAAGCTCAGAGTGATTCACTAAAAATTCACTTTCAATATGCTCACGTGAAAGACAGCTGGTTTGTTCGCTGATAATAGTTCCCGGAAGGGTATGGTAGCGTCTGATGAATGGCTCCAGCGCGCCGAAGAGGGACGTCAAGCCCTGAGGAGAGCTCTCAGTGAAGACGGGCTTAAGTAGGACTTTGTACTCTGTCATTTACAAACCAAGCATTTCAGCCATTTGTGGAATTATAAGAAAACAGATTTTATGCTAAACACATGCTTCCTGTTTTGCCACCAAGAGCAAAAACATGCAGAACTTTAGAACTGGAAGGCCTTTGAGAGTTCTTCCAGCGCCCCCAACTGGTGGAAGACAAAACCTGGGCCCACCAGTGGGCAAGTGGCAAGGCCATCCCTCTGAAAATCATGCAAGGACTTCTGCCTTTGTAAACGCTGTCAGGCTTTGCCAATATCCAGGAGACACTATAATCAGTGACAGAGAAGAAAGCAAAAACAAAATCTAAAGGATGAGGAATGGGTACAGTAGGTTTGATTTTACTTAAAAGAAACGGAGTCACTGAGAAGTGTTCTGAGTTATTCAAAACACCCAGCTAATCATCACCGGAGTGGGAACACCATCCAGGGTCCCAGCCCAAGGCTCTTCTACAGTAACACCAGCCAGCCTTTCTCAGGAGAGTAATGATGTTGTGTTAGCCCACTGTTATGAACGGCAGCAATAGCAATTCTGTAACGCTCCTGGAATGCTTTGTGATGTACAAAACATGTGACTACACATGGTCTCATTTGGTTCTTACAGATACAGGAATTATTCTTACCTAACAGTATGCTTAGCACCCAGACTTGATCTGCACGGTATAATTCTAACTGTGCAGTTTGCTAGGTCCCTGTGACAATCCTGTTGCCATGCCTGAACATCAAGGGCAGGGCCGTGGACTTGGGTGATAAGGGATTGACACCTTAATATGCTCTGAAAATTTTTTGTTTGCTTCACTTCAATATTGAATATCCAAAAATAAAATACAAAAGGGCACTTCACTGCTTATTTATGAAAAATATAAAACTATCATCAATTATAAGTAATTGTTGAGAACTTACTATGTGTCAGGCCAGAAACAGCAAAGGTGAAGATGCGATTCTAGGCTGAACTAGAATTCTATGACAGAATTGGATTTGAGCTCAAGAAGTAGAAGAAATGAAATAAATGAGTATTTGTCAGTTCCATCCCAAGCTTCATTGAGCTTTAAAAGCATTTAAAAAGAGGCAGAGACATCTTGAAGACAGTGGCCTCTTGGGGTGGCTTTTTCCTTATAGCGGAACCTCAGCACCTCTTGCCCCCACCCCCCACCCCGGCCTAGAAAGCTCTTCTCCCAGGTGTCAGCGCGACTTGCCCTCACACTTCTTTCAAGTTATTATTCCTCAGGGAAAATGAGGACTGTTCTGACCATGTATGTGAAACTGTGATGCTTTCCTGGGCTGTAACCTCTCCCCGGAACCAGCCTGGAAGTGGAGGTCCAATCTGTGCAAGAGTGACTTATGAGCTGGCTGTGACCTTAGGCCTTTTCCAGTTTGTTTTTCTCTGCAGTGTGTATTGCCAACTGACAAACTATCTATTGGTTGGCCAAAAAGTCCATTAAGTTTTTTCTGTAAAATAAAAGACATATTTTTCATTTTCACCAATGACTTTATTGGTTTGGACATTTTGAATATGTCATCTATCTCCTGCGTGGTATAATGTTGATTGTCTCAATTACTGTCTTGATTTGATCACTATCAACCTCAACCAGACCCTGGAGCATCGTCCATCAAGAAACTTCCACCACAAAACTTTGCAAACCACTTAAGACACATTCAGTCAATGCCAGCACCTTCTCCATACACCATACAAATCTTTGTCTTTCAGTTGTGTTTTTACCTTTCTTGAAAGAGTAAGCATAATATGCTGAAAATGTGTATTTTCTTTCATCTTCAATATTAAAGTGGCTACACAAACATTCACCAATTTGATAAGCTTTTTTTAAAATGCACACTGATATGACAGCTGTCACAATAGAGTCTAACAAAATTGTTTCGAATGAAGTTAAAGACAACTAAGCACTACTGGGACCATCTTACAGAAAAAAAAACTAATGAAATTTTTGGCCAACCCAATATTTCTTCTCTATGGTTGTATTTGATAAGTAATTGCTGGCTAATTAGCATCAAACTCATGTTCAAAGGCTGCAAGGGACAGAGAAACAATTTGTGCTCCAGAAGAGAGACCCCTAGTGGCTAGACTGTGTTGTACACAGACATCAAAAAAACAAGCAGCCGAGCTTCTGTGCCCGCAGCCTCCTCCACAGCCCCCAAGACAGTGCAGGAGGATCTTACAGGCCACTTGCCACAATGTCATCACCTTGTAAGAAAGCTCTTTGTTTTGTCCCAAAGCAGAGGACACTGTCCTGGGCATGTCGTGAAACACTAATAAAAAACTCATCTGTCAGCATGGAGCGTTTTCATTTTTAAGAGCTGATGATACACGGATTTCTGGCAGGCCTGAATGGACAAGGTGAAACCTGTCCACTGTGCCATTTGGCCGTCTGAGATGGTGATTTGAAGAAGTCACCTGAATAATGTCGGCAGGTCTCAAATGTGGTTTATTAGCACCGGGCACATCACCTCTTAGGTGTCAGAATGACTTTGATGGGCAGTTTAATTAAGCTGCTATTTGTTTCGTAAGTACAAATAGTAATCCCTTAGTTTTATCCTCTGCTGCTCTGATGAACTGGTCAATAATTGATTTTTTAGCACAATAATACAGAAGACTTTCATAATTTTATGTATTTCTTCATGGAAACTGACTGTGTTTTCTCAAATCATTTCACAGAGTTCAGATTTACTTATTTTTACAGCTCTGAGATGGAAATGAAATAAGTTCTGTGAGAAAAATTAAAGTCCTGTCGTTAGGTTAAAATGGTAGCGTTTCCAAATGTTAACACAAGGCTTTTTAAAAAATTTAATTCTTCAATCGTCTTCCTTGGAGCCTTCAGCCTTCAGGGCCAAGTCCTGAGGTTTGTCAACCCAAGGAAAAAAAGTACAGGAACACCCTTGAACAAACTGGCCATTGATCGGGTTTAAGTGTCAACACTGAGGTTTGTAAACAAAATGGTTTTGAAAATCAGGCTCAAAGAAGTGAGAAATTGTCTAAGTCACCTTATCTCCTTCTTTATATCAGAGGCCATCCCTGAAGGATGCAGGTGGTGGAGTTTCTTCCACTAAGCAAAAGATGGCAAGTCTTCCCTCCCTGCGGAGGGAGGTCAGCAAGCTCACTGATCTGGGGAGAAAAAGGAAAAGTTCAAGGGGAAATGACAAGTCCAGAATTGGACCCTGCCAGCCAGGAAGACTGAAGTCTTGAGGCATTATGAGAGGCGATATTGGCTGATCGAGGGGTTGGCTGCCATGCTCTTTTCCTTGCTCACACGTTTCCAGGGCTGACCTTGAGTGGAGTGGTGAAGGGAAGAAAGGACTTAGCAGCAACCAGATATGCCTGAGAACGTCTGACCCTGAGCCTAGCGGTCCAGCATCAGGGAGAATATGGACTCTTTGGAGAACTCCAGCATTCAGCTTAAGTCCATGTCCATTCTGGCCTTAAGATGAGGCAAGAAGGCAGCTATAGAAAGTGCAGGGTCTCCAAGGTCTTTGTACGAAGTGTGAAGGGAGGACATGGAGTTTTTGTGTTTTCATTGGACTAACATAGTCAAGGAGCTACAGACTTTAAGGATATCAGCATTGGAGGCAATGACCGGGATCCCGTGCTCCAGTGATGGGAGCCAGGTAGGAGAGCCACTCTGACATGGAGATCAGGAGTGTCCCCAAGGACAATGCATCCACCTGAGGACACCTTCTCCCTTTGTGAGGTCATAGAAGCTGCCCTTCTTCCCTCGATTGATATTTACCTGGTATACACTGGTCTGGCCACACTGGTTATTTATGGCCAAAGCCTCTTCTCATTGATGCTGGTTGTTAAATATTACTATTTTTAATATTGCTTCTATACATATCCCACATTTCCAGAAACCCTTAGAAGGAAAGCCACAACTTTGAAAGATAGAGAATTATTTCCGAAGAGACCAAGCATTTGCTTAAAGAGATTGCTAATTATTTGGATCATATTATAAACATATTAGGCTGGACTAAAATTAAGTTGCCCTTCCCTTTGTCACTAAGGTGGAGAACCTGTAAGAGGGATCAGATCTATGAACTGTATGTAAACAAACTATATTTTTTCTGTATGCAATTCAATGAATTTGCAGCTTTGTGTCAAATTCTAGCACAGGAGACTGGAAGGATCTGGGAACTGCCTTTAGCACTTAAATTTACTAGCATTCTCAGCTCCACCCGGGCAGGGATTTTGTCTGTTTGGTCCATAACTGTATCTCCAGTGCTCAGAATAAATGTCTGTCACAGGGTAGGTGCTTGGAAGGTATTTACTGAAGGGATTACAACTGTTACATGGGGGAGACTTGCAAAGCGCCCCCTAAGCATTTCAATACAATTTCAAAAAGCAGTGTATCCCTGGTGTCATCCATTACAATCTGTGCTTGTCAGCTCCCTCGAAGAACATTATGTTCCATTATAGGCACCAAAATTTAAGAGGAGCGTTCATCAATAAAATAGAGAAGACCCCAAAGGGAGCAGGCAGGACAAAAGAATTCTGAAAACCACCCCAAAGAAACAGTTGACAGAACTTCAGAAAAAAATTACGACGAAAGGATATGATGCTATTTCCAAATATTAGAAAGGCCTTCATCAAGGACGAGTCTGAAATACATGTCTAACTGCATGTTCATAATTAGACCCAATGGGAAGAAATTATGGATGGGCAAATTTTGGCTCAATGTAACAAAGAATCTTCTGACTCTAACTTTCAAATGATGGAATGGATGGCTGAAGTGAGGGTTAATCGTATGTTGATTGTATATTGTCAAACTAATATAAAAAGGATCACATTTATAAAAGTATTCAAGAACTTCATCAGTTTGGCCTAGGGCCTCTCTTCATCTTTGATATTTCAGTGATTAGTTATTATATTAGTAATAATATGATGCATTATCTTTATGTTTTGAATGATTTTTAGTATAACATTAGATCAGAAAAATTATCTTCCTCAGAGAATAGTAAACATTTTATTCTGCGATCCGATGAATTATACAGTTGTTGTTAAGCCAAATGCTGGTAAATATTAAATGAAAAAAATCTCCATAATTTTGCTTGTATTTTTCAAGTTGAATTTTATAAGATTTTCCTCCCACCCTGGCTGGGTGGGTCAGTTGGTTGGAGTGCCATTCCGTATGCCAAAAGGTTGGGGGTTTGATTCCCTGGTCAGGGTGCAAAACAGAGGCAACCCATGAATGTTTCTCTCTCACATCCATGTTCCTCACTGTCTTTTTGCCCATCTCTCTCCAATTGGTAAACATATCCTCAGGTGAGGGTTAAAAAAAAAGAGTCAGTCTTAGTGGCCTTTGCACTGATTAACCTCCAATACTACAAAATTCTTGGATCTCTGTTTCCCTTTGTGGGAAATACTTCCCTTAGTTTTGTCAAAAACAGACAAAGCATATCAATAAATGACATACATCTACTTGAGTAACCCATGTGGTCTTCAAAGAAACAGTGTCTCATTTGCCAGAAAGGACGAGTTAAGGACATTGTAAATAATCAATGATTAATTTATGCATTCACCATTTATTCATTTGGGCTAAGCACTGAGAACTTGAGAATGATTCACTTCCTTACTTCATGAAATCTATAATCCTGTAGCTATTATGAGTTAACAAGTTATCCTTACTTGAATGTTCAGTATTTTTATTACAAATGTAATATTTGCCCATTGTAGATAAATTCACAAGATAAGAAAGAGATTAAGAAGAAATCAGATGTAATCTTACCACTAGGAGATAAAAACTGGTGATATTTGGTAATAGAGGCTTAGAGACTTTTGTTCCTGTGTGCACACATCATAAATATATTGATATATCTGTACAGTATGTAAATATATACAAAATAAACATCTTTTTAAATGTCTACACTTACATAACATAAAATATATATTTGTGTATATATATGCTACAAATACTCTTTTATAAATTGGTATATTTAAACATAAATAGAGATCTACCTAGTCATAATGACTGACTGAGGTTATTTTATTACATGTATATGCTATAATTTATTTTTCAAAATTTCTACTGATGGTCAGTTAGATTGCTTCTAATTTTTTCTATTATTAACAATATAATCATCCACACATACATTTTTATTCATTTGTCCATTTTTTTTTTCAGAACAAGTATTTTATACTGTGTTGAACTTCAAATTTTATCTTCTGGAAGATTTTAAAATTAAGAATATCAGCACAATATTTGTTCTTGCTTCGGCAGCACATATACTAAAAATATTAACGCAATATTTTAAGCATTGAAAAACAAGCAAAGCTTACCTACATTGTTAGATGTCAGGATAATGGTGTTGCTGGGGGCCAGGTGTCCGTTTCGATTGGCTTGGCGGGGGACATGAAGAGGGTGTTAAGTACACTTGAACTAGAGTAGTCCCCTCTCATCCAAAGTTTCGCTTTCCTTGGTTTTAGTTACATACTGCCAGTAGTGGTCTAAAAATATTAAATACAAAACTCCAGAAGTAAATCATTCATAAGTTTTAAGTTGCTCATCATTCTGAGTAGCACGCTGAAATCCCCCACCATCCCGTCCTGTCCTGCCCAGGGTGTGGCCCATCGCTTTGTCCTGAGTACTCACACTGCGTGTGACCCCTGCCCGTCAATCACTGACGGTAGCCCTCTCAGTTTTCAGATATTTTGGAGGACAGAGACCACATTCATATAACTTTTATCACAGTATCTTGTTACAATTGTTCTATTTATTATTAGTTAGTGTCGTTAATATCTTACTGCACCTAATTTATACATTAAACTTTATCTAAGCTATGTATGTACAGGAAAAAACATAGTTTCTGTAGGGTTCAGTACTATCCTCAGTTTCAGGCACCCAGTGGGGGTCTTGGGGTGTATTCCCAAAGATAAGGGGGCATAGTCTGTTGGGCTTGGTTACACAGGTGAGTTCACTTTGTAAAAATTCAGCGTGCTATAGACTTGACTTCTCACTTTCTACTTGCTTGTATTTATGTTGCACATCAATGAGAGAAGGTCAAAGTTATATTATGATTTGCATCCATGTTTTATGGCCTTAGGTAAATTGTAGGAATTAAGTACTATTATCATTTTAAGTTCTTTAAAAATTTCATGTTCTACAGAAAGTTTGCACCAGTTCTGACTCTCACCAACAATATATAAAATGTGATTTTTTGCATTCAAATTAAAACTTATTGTCATCATTTTCTAATTTTAATGATTTACACATTCTTAAAATTGAATACTTTCCTAAATTTTTGTTTGAAGAAATTTCAAACTAGAAGAAAACTAAGAGAATAATATAACAGACTCTTCTACATCCTTCATTAGGTTTGCCAACTTTTAACTTTTTGCCAAATTTGTTTTCTCTTTCTTTTTCTATTCACACACACACAATTATATATGTATGTGTGTGTATATATATACATAATTAATTTTTATTTTTCTGAACTATTTGTGAATAAGTTTAAGACATCATGACAACTTACCCCTCATGTATCAGTTAAGAATAAGAATCTTCTTTTACATAACCATATACGTTACCATGCCTTTAAAAATGAACAATAATTTCATAGCATCAAGTATTATCTAGTCCATATTTATATTTCCACAATTGTCCCAGTATGGTCTTTTCTAACTGATTAAAAAGCCATGATTAAATAAAGCTCATTCACTCACTGAAGTTAGCTGGTTTGTGTCTTTAGTCTCTCCCTCTGCCTAACACGGTCCCCCACCACCATCATCTCACCCCACTTTTTTTCATGACATTGAAATTGTTAAAGTCTAGGTCACTTGAAAAACTTCTATTTGTTTTCCAATGTGTGTGACCACACTTGGTTTTGAAGGCTTATATTACAGAACTCTTACAGGTTTTCAGGAACCCGTGTATCAGCGACTGTAACGAATTTGCATTTGGGGATGTTGGTGAAACAGAGCAAGATCTGCAGTTGGGCACCAGATGTTTTTACTGAGGGGAAAAGAAGCGTTAAGAGCTTTTAAATCTTACACGATCACTTTGATCATATCGTAGTGACATTTCATCTCTGGAATCCCTTGTGAGGGTTTTCCTTCATATTATTCAATGAATCAGTTCGTATAGAACCAGTTTTAAAGACTTGAAAATGCAGTGACAGCCGAGAAGGATATTTTGAAGTTTGAAACGATCCCTATATAAATAGAACGGATCAGCATAACTTTGGGATAAAATTAGCCGACACTTTGCGGGCTCTCCAGCATGTGCCTGTTTGCTCGGTGCTCCTCTTGATAAATCACAACAAAGCTTTCAGAGGAAGAGGAAGGATGGACGGCACCGCTGCCCCTGTCACTAAATCTGCAGCTGCCAAGCTGGTCAAGAGAAATTTCCTTGAGGCTCTAAAGACAAATGACTTTGGAAAATTGAAGACCATTTTAATCCAAAGGCAAATAGATGTGGACACAGTTTTTGAAGTTGAAGATGAGAATATGGTTTTGGCATCTTATAAACAAGGTAAAAATTATTGGTGTCATTGGTATAATTGACAGAAAATAGATTTTTTTAATGCACAGCATCAGTCACCGAGTCTAAATCTATTGCTTCTTTCAGTATGTATTTTAAAAATATTTCTAATTGCAACATAAGTTGATGTATATTTCTTTCCTTTTTGCAATATAAGTTGATATATTTCTTTCCTTTTCTTCTTTCCTTTCTCTGTCCTTGTACCTGGAATTTGAAATCCTGGCTAATTTTATTTAGTAATGCACTTTCCTTTTATTTTTAACTTCCCTTCTGCCCATGATCACACAGAATAGAGAAAACATCTCTAGATTGTGGTTAAAGAGGTAGCTCAGATCTAATTCACATGGTATGACTGGCTTGGAAGCACGGAGATATAAGTCTCTGTTAACATAGCCACTTAAAAATACAGGTCTCTACACCCATCTGTATCAATGGAGAGGGTTTGGGCCCCCATTTGGAGAGTTAACGAGTGGATAGAGTTGTGTCTTGATGCACCTTGATGGATCTCACCGTTTTAATGAGTTTTCCGTTTAAGCAGGAAAGCTGAAACTGAAAAAAAAGAAAGAGTTAACTCTTTTCTTTTGAATAATAGATCAAAATTGTAAATATACTTAACACAGATTCTCTGCCTTATGAAGAACTAAGGATAACAACAAATCAGAATCGTTTTTTTTTTTTTTTAACCAAGGGATTTTCTGGAACGCGTGCTAAATGAATCAGAAGTAAATGAGAGGAGTGCAGGTTCTGATCTCCCAAATCAGCTGGTTAACGGGGAACTTGAGTAGCCAGGCCATCTGGCGAGCGGGCTGCAAACAAACACCATGTCCAACATCACTCCTGTTTAAACAAAATAGATGATAAGATCTCGTGTGTGCCATTTAGAGAGAAACAGCTATATTTTTCTTCATGTTTGAACTCCTTTCCATTCACATATAAATCATCACACCATTGATTTTTAGCAACTAATGCTAAGGTTATCTATTTCTACATTAATTTGCTATACTTTGATAGTGAGTTCTGAAGAATAGCATTGTTGAATCCAGTTACTGTGTTTAAAATTTTTACCTGATGGCTTGTAATAAATTATACTGCTATTTTGACTAGAAGATAAAGAAAAGGTCTGTGTTTTAAAAAGTAGTTGATAGGGGTCTCTGTTAAAAAGGAAGAGCGGCTAATATAAAATTAGGTTACTTTCCTAGTATGGATTTGTGCAGTCTGAATGCTAAATACATTTTTAAGGTTTTTTTTTTAATTAAAACTTATATTTGTGCCCAGTATAAAATAACCGGGTCCCAGTCAGTGGATCCTT